GGGAAACAGGGAGCCAGCAGTGCCGAAAAGGAGGGGGGCGGCGAGGGCAGGAGAAGGGTTATGATGTTCCAACTTACTTTAGCATTGATCACCTGAATGAGATTCGAGCACCAAGAAGAAAGTACCGAAACTGAAGGGTTCTCACGTGTCGGGCCCTGGGAGGCGATGCTCGTTCGACACTTTTTCGATAATGCTCTAGGTGCTCGAAATTATTTCTGGGATGCGGTCCGTAAGCAGGATGGGAGCAACATAAGAGAAGGGGGCCGGACAGCACGCCGAGGAGGTGCCGACGCGGTGTGGCCACGGGCACGCGGCGCACCAGGCGAGAGTGGGGCAGCTGGTCGGTGCGATCGAAATCGGCAGTGAACGTTTCTGTTATTCATTGTTTTGCTGAGCGGCGCGGGCCCTCGCACCCCCCCCATCCCCCGCCCCCCCTATGGAGTAGATCTTGGCTGTTTTTGGCGCCTGTGTCGAGCAGGTGGAGTCTTCCTCATGGGACGCACTGTTGCAAACAGCCGCACGAAGCAGAGGTTCGGAGCCAGAACCCCCCCCCCTTCCCCCCTGTCCGCCCGATGTCGAAGCGCCGAATAAGAAATCGTTCACAGGTACGGAAAGAGTGGGTACGAAGATCGACAGCCTGTCTTGTTCATTTTGAACAGTAGTTGCTGTCGGTGCCGCCTCGGGCCTTGCACATTCGAGACAGAAGGCCGCCTGCCCAACAACGGCTGCTGTCGGTGTTGAACAACATGTGTTGTTGGGCATCGTACCTCTCTGTTCATTACACATTTCGGGCGTCCAACGCTGGTCAGCTCTCGTGTTCGGGTCGCGCTTCATGTTTCACAGAGCGGCCCTGCAATAACTTTAGCTGCCCTTCCCGGTCGCGTCAGCTCGGCCCAGAAACCCACTTAGGTCCAGGCTGCAAGGTCCGCCTTCGCTGCGGCGCACCAGGCGAGAGCGCCAGGCACCGCAAGCGCCGCCCGCGCGACGAGTTCTGCTGCGACCCGCGCAACACTTTGCTTGGAGAGCCAGCCTGGGTCTCCTGGCTCTGCCGCGGGCGGCCCGGCTGACCTCGCCCTCGCAGCCGGAGGGGATCTCTGCTCTGTGCAGCTGGTCCCGACTTCGCCGTCGATGTTTGTTCGTCTCTACGTTGGCGCCTCCGTCGCCGGATGGTGCCGCAGAGATCGGATACGTGGCCCGATCGCCTCACATCGCCGATGCGTCGGCGATGCGGCTCGATGTGGAGCCCGATATCCTCACTCCGGCCTTCGCCGATGCATCGCCGACGTCGCCGATGACGTCGCCGATACGTCGGCGATGCAGTACGGTCCTCCGGCCCCGTCTGCTCCATCACGCTCACCATCAACAGGCGAAGCCCGAGGCGCACGGACCCGGGCGCCGATTGGCACGCCTGGCGAGCTCGCCGGGGGAGGGGCATGCTCAGCAGCCCAGCAAGCAGAGGTGGACGGCCAGTCCGAAGTGTCCGTCTCTGCTTCGCTTCGATGGTTCAAAGATGGGGTCCTGAGGGATGGGGTCCTACGGACGAGGTGCCTCAAACAACGTAAATCCATACTTGGATCCCTTCCTGCCCTTAAGACCCCATCCCTCGGGACCCCATCTTTGAACGACCGATCGCTCTACCCTGCCACGGGACGCAGCAGGCGACCGCACGCTCGCAAGAGGGAGGTACTGGCTCTGCCCCCTCTGCTGCCGCTACTGCCGCGCGGCCCGCTGGAGGCACCCTATGGAGAGAGGCGGGAGCGACAAGGAGAAGACTCCTCCTCCTCCTCCTCCTCCTCCTCCTCCTCCTCCTCCTCGTCCTCCTCCTCCTCCTCTTTCTCTTCCTCTTCGTCGTCGAGCGCGGGCGGGCAGCGAGACCGCAGACAAACACTTCGGGAGGGCAGGCCCGGCAGAGAAAAACACAGGTGCGGGCCAAGGAGCGGCGGCATGGCCCCCCCCCGCCCGCCTCCCCGTGGTGCACCCTTGGATGGGGCAGCGTGCCGGCGCAGCGCTGGCCAGGAAGAGGAGAGGCAAGATCGGCGGTTCGAAGATGAGGCCCTAAGGATAGGGCGGGGAACCCAGGTTGAGTGCTACTGTTTGAAGCCCATCCCCCAGGGCCCCATCTCTGAACCGCTGAAGGGAGGAGGCAGAGGATAGGGAGCGCCTCATCTGGAGGGAGCGAGACGTGGGGAGTGATGCGGGGACGGAGATTTCCGGGACTGCCGTGCAGGCCGGCTCTGCCGACCTCCGCGCCTCGGGGCAGTCGAGGAGGCACCCAGCACTTGTCGCCCGGGCCCGCCCCAGCCCGGGCTGCCCGACGCTTCGGGCCCTCGATCGAGGCCCAGCAGCCTGCCCAAGACAAAAGGAGAGGGAGCGGCACACCATGGCCGGGCGAGGCAGGGTGCAGGCTCAGGGACGCACACCTCTTGGACTGGCCAGAGGGCAACAGTCGTGTACGCGGTGGCTTTGCGCGATCGTCCCCTCCCTCATGCCCCTCCTCCTTCTCCCGCAAGCTTGCGCTGCACCAGAAAAAAAAGAGAGAGACAAGGGGCGGGCGACGCAGGAGGCGCGGGGCACACCGCGCGCGTCCTCGGCGGCAGCGGGCGGGGGGGCCACTCGCGAGAGCGAGGGGCGAAGGGCGGGCGGGGCACTCGGGCGGGCGCCCAGCCGGTGGGTGACCCACCGCTTGGGCCACGGGTGGCCAACGGGCAGATCGCGAGCCATCGCGCGCGGCTGTGCCGGCCTGAAGGCGAGCGCGAACGCATGTCGTGCTACAGTCGGGCTGCGCATCAAGAAGCGAGATGCTCTTCGTCAGGGTACCCTGGGCTTCTTCGCTCCGAGCGCTGCGCGGTGACTTCCCGCGGCCGTCAAAGAAGCTGCTGCGTTCAGGGTGCTGCAGGTTTCCCCCCAGGTGCACTTCGCGCACGTTGGGTTTCTTGCGAGGGGTTCTCGCGACCGCGCCCGCGTTGTACTGAGAATGCGCACGCAGGATGCAGATGTGGGACGACGTGAACCAGCGAGATGGGTCGCCAGCATCTCTTTGTAGTAAGTATTCCCCCCGCGGGAAGCACCGTCGAGTGTCGTCGTGGGAAGCGCACCCTGCAGCAGACATCAAAAGTCATTGTGGGCAGTATCCACGCTGAGGTTGCAACTCACGGTGGTAACCAGCATGCTGGCAGCCACCGTGTTCAACGAGGCAGCTTGCAGATCTGCACCGACGTGCATCGGTCAAATTGTTTTGTAACCTGCTGTAAACAAGCTTTTGTGCGGGAAGCACATCCTGCAGTAGATGCCGATAACGCCTGCGGGAAGAAACGCCGCCGAAGCGGCCAAAACATTCGTGCGGCGATGCGGACAGGATGTCCCTCCTTGCCGCACCGAAGCTGGAGGAACTTTCCCCTTTTGTTGTTTTGTCTCCCTCTCTCTCTCAAATAATTACTGCCATACATGCAGACGCAAGCTGCGCCTTGCATGATTGTTCACATGGACGCGTCATTGGATCTTTTCCCCCAAGCGCCATGAGCCGCGCGAGGCTCAAACCAGTGTCAACGTAAGAGGTGAGAGTTATAGGCTGTGAGAGTGTCACTTGCTGTTTCCGAACGAATCAACAATAGTAATATTCTCGAGCAATCACACCGAATTGTCAAAATCCACGCACAGTCGATGAGGATCAGGACGAGTAACAATCGCGCCGTCCTCTCAAAAGTACGCGCTTGCTGTCGGGGTCAGGTGTGATCGCTGATGGGCACCGTTGGAAACGATCGCAGAGAAAAACCAGAAAGAAGAGAAGCACGAGGAGGAGAAAGAGCAGGAGGCGGAGGAGAAGGTGGAGGTGGAGGGGAATGAGGATGTGGGGGAGGAGGTGGAAGAGGAGGGGTGGAGAGGATGATGAGGAGGAGGAATTCGGAGTTGCCCCACTGGTGCCACAGACTGCTCGATCAGATCGAAAATGGAACGATGCCAGCATGCATGACTCGTTGCTCTCGCCCCCCGCGTCGGCGCTCGCCACCCCGCCAGAGCGGAGCTGGCCAAACTGGCGGCCTCTCTTCTGTCCAGATCGCTCGCGCTCGGGTCCGCCCGCGCGCGCCCGTCCCGATCAACACCTGTCGGAGCTCGATCGACGACAGGCCACCTTTCTGTCGCCCCCTCTGGTCTGTGGCGTGCCCAGTGGGGACGGCAGAGCGGGCGGGCCTTCTCGGAAGGCTCAGAGGGCGTCCAGCCTCCCGAGAAGCTGCCCGACCCTTCCCTGAACGCAGAGGCGGCCTCTCAGCGGGCCGGAGAGGGCTTCTTCCAGAAGCCCCGCGCCGCCCTCTGCAAAGGTCTGCCTCTCTCGCCTCCCCTTCGGCGTGCCGCCGATCTCTCCTCCCCCTTCGTCGAGCTCCCGCGCCCCCGCGCGTTCGGCAGCCCTCCCCGCAGCGCCGCCTGCTGCGCCTGCCCCTCCGCGCGCGCGCGCGCCCCGCCCCGCGGCTCCGCAGCTGCGCGGGCACGGCCCCGCGGGGAGGCGGGCCGCAGCGGCCGGGCTGAGGAGACGAGCTCGCGAGCGGGGGCAGCACGCACTGCGGCCTGGACCGGGGCTCCCTCGCGTGCGACGGGTCCGACCTGGGCTCCGACTGCGGGTCCGCCGAGGAGTCCGCCTGCAGCGACTCCGAGTGCGGCTTCGGCGACCGGGTCCAGGACGCGGGGCGGTGGCCAGGGGACCTCGTGAAACAGGTGGTCGGCCAATCCCCTCTGGCCGACCCGAATTCGGGAGCCACGCGGGGCCGGTGCCCCCCTTGCGGCCTTGCGCCGACCCCGCTTGGGGCAGACCTGGGCGAGTGCGACCCCGGAGAGGCGTGGGGGGGGGAGGGGGAGCGAAGGGAGGGGAGCCAGAGATCTCAGAGGAGTGGGGGGGAGAGGAGGAGTTGGCAGAGGAGGGCTTCGATTCTGGCAGCGGCGTTTTCTGCTCGATCCAGGAGTGGGATTCGGACTTCATGACTGACAATGCCTCAAGCGATGATGAGTAGGGGCTGTTTAGGCGGTGGGCAGATGCAGCACGTTTGCGCTCTCTGCTCAGATGCATCAAAGCTTAAAGACGGATAATGATTCCAGCGATGACTAGAGATCGGTTAGGCCGCAGACAGACTCAGCGCCTTTGCGTTCCCTTGCGACTTGTGCACGGCAGCTGAAGCACATCTGCTGCAGCAGATGGGAATTGAATTGCCTCGTTACGATGATGCTCTTGATGACCGCGATGATAAGCATAGTGGCGATGGTGGTGACGATGACGACGGCAGACATCGTGTTGGCGACAGTTTGTGTGTATCTTGTGGCCTTCGGCCATTTCGCCACCGTGGCAAGGTTGTAGGTCAGAATCATCTTAAATGCCCGTGGGGGTCTCTTTGGAGGCCTCTCGGGAGCCTCTTGTAGTCGGTTTTGTAGTGCCTTTGGGTATGGTTTGGGCATCTCGGGAGACTCCTGGAGTTTCTTTGGGGGCTTCTCGGGGGAATGCTGGCGGTCTCGGGGACCGCCTGAGGGCAGAGCGCTTTAGATGTCGTTTCGTGTGGACCTCTCTTGGAGCCTTTGGTAGCCATCCTAGGACGCCTAGAGGGCCTCTTGGGCCATCTTGGGGCCCCCTTGGGCCGTCAGTGAGCCCTCCTGGGGGCCTCTTGGGGCGATTTGAGAGCGATCTGAATGGCCTTTTGGGCTGCTTCCGAGCGTCCGAAACCCGAACAGGCGAAAACGCTGACATCCGTTAAAAACGCTTTGATCATCAATACTTGTTGCATATGGGAGCCTTCTTGGAAGTGCTCATGGAGCCCTCTTGTGGTATCTTGAGAGCCTCTTGGACCGTGTGGGGGCGATCTTGCGCGTCTCGGACCCTCGGACCCTCTTGGCCCGTCGTGGGGCACTCATGGAACCGAAAAAGTAACGCGGGAACGCGCGACGCGCCCCAGGAAAGCTTGCAAGTTGGGGTCCGCGCCTGTAAATCTCACTCGTTCAGAATGGACGACGGAGAATGCTGAGGGACCTTGGAACACTCCAACTTGTGCCTCAAAGCACGGTGACGGCTGTGCGTATACATGTGTATACATAAATAAACACACAATTTTAAGGCTCGCTTCGCTTCGCCCTTCAATCCTGTTTTTTGGGGCAATAGGGCGGCTCCTGCGGTGCGAATTGGAAAGAAGCGACGCGTGTTGTGCGCTTCTTTCCAAATCCTGGCGGCGCGGCCGTAATGTGTTATATTTCGCTTCGGTTGGCTTGGAACGTTGACGACGTTGGTGGAAAAGCTCAGGAGTCCTGCAAGGCAGCCGGAAACGATGCCAGTCCCCGTCGGGACGCGGGATCCACAGCACGGACGCGCGGCGCAAAACGCGCGCGCGGCAACGGTGCGGATGCCCGCGGTGGACGGGGACCTCGCACGGCTTGGCACAGGGCTTCTGGCGGGCCGCGGCCGGCTTTTTGTGGATGGTCTTCTGAACCGCCGGCGCAGCAGCAGTGGGAGCCGTAGAGCCGCTGAGGGTGTCGCCGATGCCGGCGCCAGGATTGCACTCGTTGCGCGCGATGATGGCAAGACATCGCGAGTTTGCGGAGGCCCTGAGGCGCGGCCGCGGGGGCGTCGTTGGCGATTACAGGGTGCAGGTTAATGAGCTCTTTGATGGCGCGCGGCTCCTGGTTGAGCTTTGCGGAGCAAGCGTGCTCCACGCGGTTGGCGAGGATACGGAATTCCACTTGGATCCCCGCGGCGATCGTTGTCCGGGGCGGCCAGGTTGACGTCGAGCTGGGCCGGCTACAGGACGGAGACCACAGTGTTGCACTCGTGCTGCGCGGCCGTTTTCCCCCGCGGCCGCGGAGTCGCCGCGGGCTCCGACGATCCAGGCGCAGATCGCATTCCCGCAGGGACTGTTGCTCGCAATGCGACCGAGAAGGCTCTGGACTCCCGCCAGCGCGCCGCGCGCCGCCTGCGGCGAGGTCATCTGCGCGACGGCGTCTTTCTGGAAGTAGGAGAGGGCGCGGCGGCCCGCTCGGTTATGGCGTAGGCTGGAGGCACCCGCCACCGAGGCGCGGGCGCCGCAGGCGCGGCTGCCGTTCGCATCGACCATCTCGAGCAAGACATGAGCGGTGCACGCGAAGGCCCTCTGCTGGGCTGGGAGGGCCCGCGCGGGCCAGGGGGTTTTCTGCGTCGGCGCAAACGAGGCGTTCGCGGCTTTGGGCGGCATCGCAGCGGGGGCATGACGCGGTCGGAGGGGCACGATTGAGCCAAATTGCAGGGAGACTTTCGCGCGGTCTCATGCAACGCTGTATTGTTAAAGAGCAACTCTGAGGCTTTGCTCTGTCTGCATAGAAGACGTGGAAGTATGTGGAGATTTTTGCTATATATATATATATATATATACACAGGACTACGTTGGCGCCCCGCGCCATGCGCCATGTTCTGGACGCCCCCCTGGCAAAGCAACAAATCATCGTTTGTTTCAGCGGTGGGGGGCCTCGAGGCCTGGACGGGCGACCGGCTCGTTGATCCGATGCCCCCGGCGCCCGTTGACACCGCGTTCGCCCGACGCGCTCGCACGCTCGCGCGTGGGAGCGGGAAAGGAATGACGATGCTTTCACGCGCGAACGTCCTTCAAGGAAGTAATGAGCGTTCCCGCGGCGCGCCGAAGAAGTCACAGCAGCTCCGAACACGTCGATTTCTGGTCGATTCCTGAATGCCTGGAGGGCTCCAGGCATTCAGGAAATCTTCGATCGTCGAACTTCGAATCTAGACCCATTGCCTGTCTCTCTCGATCGAGGAACTCAAGCCCCCAGCCTCGAGCGTGGAACCGAGATCTTCGAGTCAGCTCGATGCACTTCGTAGGGGAACGCCGTCCGGGGGGTTTTGGCGTTCTCGCGGGCCGCCCCGGTGCCCTCTCGGGCCGCCCCAGGGCCTTCTCGGGCCGTCTCGGGCAGCTGGGGCCCTCCAGGGGCTTCCTGAAGCCATCTGGGGCCCTCTCGGGGGCCCCCCGTGACCTTTTCGGGGGCCTCCGATGGCATTCGTGGGTCTCTCTTGGGAGCCTTTTGGGGGCATCTTGGCTTTCTCGTGAGCACATTGGCCCTCTAGGGCCGCCCTCGAGCCTTCCAGGGGGCCTCTTGGGCCCTCTTGGGGCGACATCGGAGGCCCATCGGGCCGTCTTGGACGCTGCGAAGACCCAAGATGCGGAAATGCTATTTGTTTTCGAGAATAGGACGATGCTTCTTTCTTCTGGGCTCTCTTAACGGCCTCCGGGGGCGCCTTGGGGGCCTCGTGGGCCGTCTTCAGACCATCGAGGTTTCTTTTGGAGCGCTCCCGCGCTGTCTTGGGTCTCTCGCGCGCCTCTCCGATGACCCTTCTAATCGCCCCGAGTCTGCTCGCACGGCCCGGCAAGGCGCCTTGGGGGGCCCAGGAGGGCCAGCGGGCCTTTTCCAAGAGCGCCCAGGTGGCCGCCGAGACGCCCGCAAGAGCGCCCGGGGCGCCCATCGGGGGGGGGGCCGGCTTAGGCGGGGGTCCAGGTAATAGAAGTATAGGAATAGGAGCATACATACAAATATCGGGGGGGGGGGGGGGCGAATTGCCATGCAATGGGCCATGCCATGCCCAGTGTTCGGCGCTGTTCTTCATGAAGAAAAAAGGATAACAATGAATCAAAATAATAAAAAGAACGTCCGCCGGGCGAGCGCCAGGCCCCGCCGAGGCGCGCGGCGCGCGGGCGAAGGAGGCAGCGAAGTCGAGTGCGAGCGCGCCCCCGGCGCAAGCGCAACAGAGACTCGGCTTCTCCGCGCGGCACAGGCATGCCCCGCAACCGGGGCAGAGCTGGCCCATGTCGCCGAGGCAGAAGGAGTCCCCATGCGGGCGTCCGTTGGGGCTGCTGCAGGCGCTGCATTATGCTCGAGCAGTGTCCGGGCTCCGCACGGCACAGATGTGCTTCGCAACCGGGTAAGGGCTGGCCCATGTCGCCGAGGCAGAAGGAGTCCCCATGCGGGCGTCCGTTGGGGCTGCTGCAGGCGCTGCATTCTGCTCGAGCAGCGTCCGGGCTGCGCACGGCACAGATGTGTTTCGCAACCGGGGTAGGGCTGGCCCATGTCGCCGAGGCAAAAGGAGTCGTTATGCGGGCGTCCGTCGGGGTTGCTGCAGGCGTTGCGTTTTGCTCGAGCAGCGCGGCGGCAGCCCACCAGGAAGGATGCCCATGGCAAGACGCTGCCACACTGCGCCGTTCCCGGCGCCAACTGCGCGGTTTGCCCCACTGCGCTGCGAGGCATCAGCAGCACAACTGTTGCATTTCCGCGTGGGCCGCGGCACTTGCGCGCTTGAGAAAGTGTTTCGAGGGTGGTGTTGCTGACAAGCGGCGCACTTGAGTGCACTTTCTGGGGGGTCTTGTCTCTGGGGGGAATGGCTTTAGCCCGACTGGGACGCCAGCAAGGAATGATTCGGGGGCCTTGCATTTGAGCCCCCCTCTGGGTGGGAATTGAAAAGGAGCAGAAATTGGAACGCGCTCCTTTTGAAAAGCGTGTGGGAAGAAAGGGGAAGGTGTGGGAGGAGGAGGAAAGGAAGGAAAGGAAGAAGGGGAAGGTGTGGGAGGAGGAAAGGATAATGCAGGGAAGGCGAAGGAGGAAGTGAGCGAGGAGACTTTTGGAGGTGCGAAGAGAAAGAGCACATGGAACGCCATCAATTGGTTTCGGGAAAATTGCCGGGGCCCCCCTGGAATCAGATCGGGCGGTCCTCTTACTTTTGTTGGTATCTCGATGGGGGTGCCCAGAGACAGATGGATGTCCGCAGTACCCTCTTCGGGGACGTCGGCTCGGGCGTGGGCGCGTAGCTCCGTAGAGGCTTCTGGGGGTCTCTGGGAGGCCGCCCGACAGTTGTGGGAAACACTGGGGGTTCGCGAGAGGCCTCTGCGGGACGTCTCGGGCTTTTCCTGGGAATCCACTGGGAGCCGTGGCATCGTAGAGGTTTCGGGGGGTCTCTTAGAGGACGCCCGACCGTTCGGGGAAGCATTGGGGGATCCGC